TCAGTCAAAGCAACAGATTGGGGATGGGCATTGATTCTCAAAAATCAAAGGTCTATTTCCCTAATTAATGCGTTGGATTGATGATGCAAATTGGAACACTGCCGTGACGTGACAACGGGGGCCTTTTATTATCATGATAAGAGTAAGAGAAACATGGAGCCAAAGAACAAAATTGCCCTTCGGCTCAGGTATCAACCGCTCTCACGTTGCTCTTGTGCTATCCCGTCATTGATTGACCGTACACGGCACATATCATCCAGTGAAGACCGTAGACGCCGGGATTTGCCCTCAAACTAACGGAAAGCCCAAAACAACCACCTCCCCAAATCTAATCCTGTCGTCCCTTCAATAACCGCTGGGTAACCTTGTCCTTCTCTATAATGTAAACCTGGGCACCCCAACCGGAGAGAGCATCTCGGTCCACGGCGCTAAGCAGTGCTTGTGAGATTGTCTCGAAGAGGTCCTCGGGGGCCTGTAATGACATAGTGTGTTAGACAGCAAGCACATCTAGTATGGGTATGATGACAAAAATAATAGGACTCATACCAGATCAGGCTCCCACAGACCCTCGCAAGTACCGAAGAGCTGGTCGCTTGCTGTTCCGCTGACAATGAAGTCCTTGGCGAAATCGATACAGCCAATGCTGTCGAAGCCGCAGATGAACGGCTTCCCTGTTGTTGGGTTGATACCAGCCAACACAGGGCTGACGAAGTAAGGACCAAAGCGCTTCTCATACAGCGATGAGCTCACTAGGTTGGCGAGGGTCTGCGGTGCGATGTCGCGCTCCTCGCGCAGCCGGTACATGTTGACCTTGTAACGGAAGAGATCGGAGACGGTGTTGACATCGGTGGCGAGGCCAGTGAGGCCGAGATAGGTGGATGGAGCGTAGTTGAAGATCTTAGGGAAGTTGTTGGAGATGGTCAGGGACTGCATGCCCAGGCGAAGGTCACAGGCGATGGCGACGCAGTCCTTGCCCACCATGGCGACACAGGCACCGCCATCTGCAGAACGATTAGTATTTCAGTTGGATATTCATGAGGGCCAAGGTTCCGGCATACTGATGTCGAAGGGGTTGGACTGTGATGAGAGAAGTCGGTCAGCTTGGAGGTCCAGAGATTCGTGGACGATAGGGACAAAGGGCGCATTTTTCTTACCATTATTGCAGTGTTTCAATGCAATTCAATATAACAGAGATATTCCAGAGCTAAAGCACAAGAAAAAAGAAGAGAAAATGTGGTTGAGAAGGGGGCGGGTTGGGGGAGGTGATGGAGGTGAGTTGATGACGGGGAAGCTCTGAGGTACGCGAGAGCTCAGATGACGCCCGCACCGCTGCCTGTTTCGTATGCTTCGACTACTTTCTGCGCCATCTTTCTCCCCGCATTCGAGTTTCACCCTTTTTTACCTCTTTACTTCCATTTGTCCATTTGAAATCTCTATATTGAGATATTGAATCTTCTCTACTTTATTGTCAGAGTTAGTATTCTCCATAACACAATGAGTGCCCACGTTGTGGTGATCGACGCGACAGCCAGGCGGGCAACAATCAAAACTACTCCCGCCAAACACTTGACCGATATCCTACAAGAAGCATGTTCGAAGCTTGGATATAACCCTAGTCAGTACTCATTAAAGTGAGTTGGCGTTTCTTTTCCCTCATGACAACTCTGACCCCGGTCTTGTCTATGCAACAGACACAATCGCAAGCAGCTGGATCTTTCTCTTTCCTACCGTTTGTCTGGTCTTAGCTCCGGCGCGAAGCTTGAACTTGTTCAACTCTCTCGGTCCCCGTCAGTCGTAACCGTCGGCCTACAACTGCCCGAATCTGAGGCTCGTGATGCCCCGAATGGTCGCATACTTGATAAATTCCCTAGTACGACTACACTATGGATGGTACTACGCAAGTTCGAGGCGGGAGTTGCAGGGAGTGGCCCAGTAAGGAACCTCACCTCACGTGCAGTGCCCTCCGCCGATGGTGGGGATGTCGCCGGACGACTGTACTATGAGATCCCCGTCCTACAGATTTTGGAACGTGAAGTATCGAGCTTCACGGATCTACAAAAAACCCTAGCCCAGCTAGGTTTCAACAGTGGCAATGTTCTTATTCGATTAAGTTTCCGACGGACCGATGAGCCTATCGAGGAAGCCATGGTCAAGATTGGCGAGTTCTTCAAGTCCTCAGAGGATGAGGCTCCTTCGGCACAGGATAAGAACGCAGCGCCCGCAGTACCGCCCGCAGCAGCTCTCGCTGACAGCACAAGCAAGGAGCCTGCTCAGGATCTCTCCGGTTCATTGCAGCCTGGGCCTTCCACCGTCACCGCCGCTTCGGACGAAGTTGCCCCTCCCCAATATATCTCCGAACCGGCCACTTCCACAGTCGACTCTGGCCGAACGATTACCGTCTTCTCTCCTCCCTCGGAAGATACTCCTTCGTCAGCAAAATTAGACTACAATGAGAGTGATTACATACCCTCTATCGAGCACGCAAAACTGCACCAGCGGTTACTCAACGAGTCCTCTCGGCCAAAGCGCTTGCCAACGGACGCCGAGATCGCCGCCAAGGCAGAGGCCGAAGCGGCAAGGCGAGCAGCAATTCACGAGGTCAACGTGAAGATCCGTTTCCCAGATCAGAGCCAGGTAGTTGTCAAATTTGGGACCTCGGACACAGGACAGTCGTTGTATGAATTCGCACGCGGGTGTCTTGCTCCACCGTTCGCTAGCGAGAACTTCACTCTCACTGTCCATGGTGTATCCCGGTCCAAGCATACAAACGCCATACCCCCATCAGACAAGAAGCATCTGATTAAAGACCTTGGACTGGCTGGCCGTGTGCTCGTGAACTTCTCTTGGGCAGATAATGCTGCCTCGTTTGTTCATGATCGCCGAGCGGAGATTCTACGCCCCGAGCTTCGAAGCCAGGCTCAACAGCTCAAGGTAGAGCAACCACCGGAGCTCAAGGAAGATGTGTCTGCTCCCTCACAGCCGGGTCCGAGTAGCGCTCAGGCCGGTGATAAGCCGAGCGGGGCACGGAAGAGTGGCGGCATGCCTAAGTGGCTAAAGCTACCCGGTAAGAAATGAAGTTGTGATGATGGAATGTATTTAGTTCAGGTGAGCGACATGTACTGCTCTTGATGATCATGACTTAAGTATATGGCGCATCCTTTGAAGACGCATCAACCTCTTAGATGTGTGGATAGACTTGAATCACATGCCTTTATAACTTTCATTTACGTACTTGTATAGATAGCCTCAGATGATAAAGTAACACACTAGGCTTGACACCAAAAGCATGGTTTTATGTAGAGCGTCAACTCTTCATACATCTATGGATATATATGAAGTCAAACTTCTTTGCTTGGATAACCATACGCATTTCCATCTACGTTGTAAACCTCCATTTAGAAAGTGGCTCAATTGCAAATATCAAACGTGAAATGGTTGAATAATTGTTTTCATTATGGTTTCACTCCATACGACAGAGAAGGAATCCCATATTTGCCTTCCCCTTCATGCACGCCCAATGGCCACGAAACCCCCTTTCCGATCCGAGAATCACGCTTTTTTTTGCGTCGAGTCGTTAAAACGAAAGAAAAACAGGAACGGGTTGGAAAATTTAGTGAGCAGCGGTGCGGCGAGACTCAGCAATAACCTTCTGCATGGACTCAACCTTGGCCTTGCCGCGGCCGAAAGTACCGAGCTGGATATGAAGTTAGCAAAAGTGTTAACTCAAATTGATCGACTGGTTGAGCTCTGGTCCTAATGGAAATCGGTTTGACCTTGGCCATAGTTGTCGGTCATTGGTAAACAGAAGAGTAACTGTGTGGGTTTGTCCAAGCAGGGATTGAAAATAATCTTCGTCTGAGAGATTGACCCATACAGTACCATTCCGATACAGCAAGATCTTGACCAAATCGACCCGAATCCAACGTAGTCCATGCAACAGAGCCAACCAGACGAAAGCGGAAAAGGGATTAGGATTAAACGTACGCGCTTCTTAGCGAGCTTGCGGGCACGCTTGTCCTGGGCGTTGCGCAGCAACTCAATGATGCGGCGCTCGTAGGGAGCGAGACCAACGACCTCCTGGGCGATTTCGCGGACGAAAGCGGTGCGGCGGGAAGACTTGCCCTTGGTGCGCGAGATGCGAGTCTTGGGGGTGTTGAGGGCGGTGGTTTTCTATATCAGAGCCCAGTCAGTATGTCTGTTTCGCCAAGTCGCATGAAACGGCCGCAGGTCCCAATGTTCTCTTCTGTTCGCCATTCGTGTCTGTCTGTCGGGGTGGGTTCATAGCATGGTCGGATGAGGGTTGCGTGGAAGGCGAGTGCAGGCTTCGGTGCCAAAGTCGAATGCAAAAAAAGTGTTCCGTGATATCGAAAATTTCCCTGACGAGTCTCTGATTTTTCCAATGGGCGATTCATTCGCAATTCTCCTTGCCGTGATAGTTCCCAGAGTTTTTGCGATAAACCTTGACCCCAACTGGTCTTAGATGGACCAACAGACCGAGCGAACAGAAAGAAGAGACCTTGGGAGACCTTCAAACGACCGAAAAACATGGTGCAAAAAGACAGTAAGAACGTACCCGGCCCGCGTTGAGTCCGACCACAATTCCGGAGCGTTCGGCCATCTCGACGGTTGTTGACTGAAGGGGTTGGCGGAGGTTGTCGAAGAGGAGGTGAGGGAGCCGTGTGAAAATCGCCTGGTCTTTTGCCTGGAACCGCAAAATGGAGCCTTGGCGTTGGTGCGGTAGGCGAGTGACTAGGGCTAGGGCTGGATAAATCGGGACTAGCGTACTAGCGTTGGTACCTGACACCTAAGGCACCGGATTATAACTGTATGACTTGGCATAGCACGTGATAAACGTTTGCCCTTTTCTATAGATCGACCTTTACTACCTGGACTGCATCTGACTTGTTAACATCAACTGTCATATATTTGGTTTACATGTACTCCAGCTCTGAATTTTCATGTACACATGATTCATTCCTTGCAATTCTAGATGTTCAGAATTAAAGCCTGGCAGCCAGCACTCCGTCGAGTGCCTCCTCCCAGCTCTCCCTCAGCTCTCCACAGAACAATTCGAGTGCAGATTCATCCAACGCTTTCTCCAAAACATCTTGGAGCGGCTTCTCATATTCATCAGTGGCATCACCACGCTTGACCATGTCGATGAGTGTACTGAGAGTAGCTGATTCAGTAAGGCTTTGTTTCAAACTGCGGGTGTTCGAACGGATATCCTCGAAAACTTCACGAACAAGAGTATCCAATCTCTTCATTTGTTCGGCAGGGAGTTTAGCGGTCTTGACGGCCTTTCGGGAATCCAGATCGAAAATATTCCACAGAGCCTTGAGTGTCTCCACGAGGGTCCAGATGACATGGAAATATTCCCATGTCGGTGCACCTGGGGTGCCTGGAGTGAACTCGACGGTCGTTCTCATGATAAGACAAGACTTCTTAGTGTCTTTCAGAGCTAGATCCTCTTTCTTAGCCTTCAACCAATCCTCTACCTCGCCAAGAGAAGTCTCAATTTCGGTAGAAGTATGGGCTTTGGATCCAGCCATAAACATAGCCACTTTCAACAATTCTACGTGAATCTTCGTTGCTTCAATCTCAGCGACAGTATGGTCAGCATCGGTCTGGGAGAGCGACAATTTGCCAATTTCGGGCAGCTCTAGCTTCAACACGACTGGCTTCTGACTGCCGATGTTCTCAAGAACACTGAAAAGTCGATCAGTGAGTCGGGCGGATGCCAACCAGTTTTCCTATATTGGCATTAGTCGGTTCCACAGTGTCACTCAAGCAAACAAACTTACCCTGGGAATAGGGCCTGCGCGCAATCGGTGCTCAAATGGAGATTGATCACAACGTTCCAAATTCATAAAAGCATCATACTTCCGCTGATCTCGAGCTGGCGATGTATCCTGGGCTATTAGGGTGGTTAGTATTCAAGTATGCTGGGAGTACATGAGAGACTGGGAGTTACTGACCAATATCCTCATGAAGGGCCAAGTGGTTTCCTTTGCGGATTCTTTGCATCCGCCGTAATTCCAGGGCCCACATTCTCCTGCAGATACTGTCCCCGACACGTTTTTGAAGCTCGATTGTGTCGTCTAAACTGACGTAAGTCCCATCATCAAGACCTTTTATCAAAGAGTTCTTGATGGTGAAGCTTGCACTACGATAAAAGTCAAGAGCGCCAATGAATGCCACTTGCGGTTCAAAATCCTTGTACTCTCCGCCCTCGATAGGAGGCGCGGGATAAGGGTGGATGGTGGCGAAACGGGTGAAAAGGTTATGAGCAACACTTTCATATTGCATTTGTTTGACAGACAGCTTGCCAAACCACCTCAAAGCAATAGAGCCGGCGCCAAGAAGAAGATAAATGCGAATCAACATAAGAATCGCTTCGTAGTTATGAGGTGAGTCGGTTAGAAGGTGTTCCAGAATCCCAGCGGCGCGAATCAGGGCAGTGTTGCTGACTTTTTTAGATTCCCGGTCAGCTGGTCTGGGCTGAAGAAGAGCCATGGCGGCAACGATGCAGAAGTCATCGGTGGGCCGACTTTCCATTGCGGAAGCAGTATCTGGCTGGCTTTCTTTCTTTGAGTCCTTGGTCTTTGCCAAAAGTGTGAATGCATCGTAAAAGTAAAGGCAATTGCGGACAAGAGTCTCAATAATAGATTTGGATGCGTTGCTCTTGCCTGAAATACGGTCGCAGTACTGTAGCTTGTACGCATTGATCAATGGAATGGCATCGTCCTGGTATGTTGATTAGCTCGTATTGGCTGAGTTTAGCAGAATTTTCACTTACGGGTTTCCCTTCGACACTGTCCATGCAATGTTGAGCTACTCGGTGAATCAAAGTGTCATCACGGGTCTCCAAAACCCCTCGTAAGTCTTTGAAAGCATAGAGTTTGTGCATGTGTTGGTCGAAGTATCTTTGGCACGCAACAACCAGATCATCCTCTGTCCGCTCGCCTCGTTTAAACCCGGTTAGGATTATGTCCATGAGAGCGATGTGCGCATTGCGGGACTTTGGGCTGAATTCGATGAACTTCTCGATATGCTGCTGCGTGTCTGAAAGTAGCCTAATGATCTGTTAGCTAAGAGTTTGATGGTATGGAAGTAAAACATTGCAATACATACTCTGGGTTGTTTTCAAGACGACGCACGGCTAAGATGAGCAAGTTCCAGTATTTCCAATCATCACGCTCATGCAGAGTGCTGCGCTCTGCTTCGTCTTCAGACACTGTAAGCAGACTTTTGACGTATGAGTGCCCTTCTTCCCAGAGTTCGGCAGCCCCCAAGCTAATGACTTTGGCTAGCATGAAAGTCCTGTCGTTGTTAACAATCCGAGACTTGAGACCAGCATTCTCGCTATCAAGAACCTGCACGATCTCTACCCAGCGACTCTGCGATTCGAGAATTCGAACAACCAAAAGAAGTTCCTCGGCGGTTTGTATGGCTCTCGGGGGGGCTTGGTGATTCAGTCTGTAGTAAGCCATGGATTATGTCAGTCGTTTATGCCCCAATATTATATCCAATCTTCACGTCCAGTGCGCATGTAGTCTTTAGGAAAGAAATTACATACCGGGTTAGAAGGAACATCGGCTACTGCCTTCTGAGCAAAGCGATACGCAAGTGTCCCAAACAACTTGCGGTCCATGTCCGAGCTCGCCGCGTCATCTGAAACGAGATAACAGAGGAAAATGGCCCAGAAATAGTACTTTCGCTCCCGAGGAAAGTTTTTTTGGAGACTCATGGCAGCCTGTGATACGAATGAAGGTACTCGTTAGCAACTTGAGCCTTGATCCGATGCCAATGTAACATAGGTTTCTTCCCAACTCACTTTCTGGGCTGACTTCCAGTCACCAGCCTCATATCCGAACTTGAACCACCTCATCTGAAGAGCGTGATCTTGCGGCTTTGCCTTAGCTGCTCGTTCCCATATAGCGCTCCGAAGCTCGGTATGGTCATCCATCTTCTGCAGCGTACGGTGGAGTATGTCGAGAGAGTCTAGATCCGAGATTGGGGGATCGGCGTTGCACAGGTCGAGGGTCTCTGTGGTGCCTTTCTTTCGATGAGTTTCATCGGCATGGCTGAATAGGATGTTCGCTTTCCAGGCCTATTTGCTTGCGATCTCACGTGTTAGTTGGTCCCGTACAACTGACCGCGTCGCCGCGGGTAAATTCGAAATAAACAACAACAAGGATCACTCGCCTTCAAAAACTGCGTATTCTCGCCTTTCTTCATACGCTTCTCAATCAACTGCAAGGCCTGTTTCATGTTCTGGGAGTCAATGGCATCTTGGATTTGGTTGTTGCGACGCAGAAACACCGCGTCATTGCTAGAGCTCATGGTGGAGGTAGTATTCAATTTGCGGGAAAACTCTTCAATTGGCGTCTTTCGCAGAATAGTCTGATCACTGTGCAAAGCACAGCATGGGCTAAAAAAGGTCAATGATCTGAGTTGGATTTGAGTGATCGACTTCGGTCACTTTTTTATTTGGCGGGGAAGAAGATCAAAGGGCAGGCGGTCAATCAGTCCCCGCACCATACTGCCGGCAAGAAACCAACATTTGAAGTATGCCGTAGTTATGCGCCATTGATGTACTTTGATGCACATGGTTCAAAAACAGAAATCACATGGATGAGACTTTGAAAAAGCTAGTCAACTGTTTTGATCTATGCTTTATAGTTCAGTGTACAATATAGCTCATATGTATTAATTGGATAAGTAGTCACACTTGAAAACAATAAATAAGCCATATCAAAATCTTAAGACATCCGTGGTTGCTAGGAGGCCTCCGAGGGCTGCAACCTTGAAGGTTCTCACATATATATAGTTATAGTTCCCATTTAGTTAGTTTCATATGCATCCCGAGGTTTTTATTCGACTGGATATGAAGATCCGAAGCTCTACCTCTACACCTGGACAAGATAGATAAGACTCCAAGGTTATGAAAGTGGTAATATACAGGCTTAAATTAACTTCAAGGATAGTGCGATACGCCAATAAAATTCAGGTCACAGGGAAACAGCTCCAGAAAGAGAAAGCCGGTTATCTCACAGGTCAGCGCCGGACCATAAAACTTTTCGGCTTGCCAAAAATGGTGTTTTTTACCAGCCTCGCAAGATCGTAATGCCCGACAGCAATTCGAATGCTTATCACATATCAGTGAACGTAAAAGAAGCTAAGGGTTTGGGTTTGGGAGGCTGGGTTGATAAAAGAGCACATGCAACAACTGCTTTGGGAATGCCATGGATTTTGCCAGCCAGGAAAGTTGTTGATATTTTTGGTAAGCATAGTCCGGGATAGTGGAAATGTCTCATTTGGGCTGAGGCGTCAAAGAGGCTTTCTTCTGGGTGAGCTGTGCCTTGTTAGCTACCGAATATACTCCGACACGTATCGAATCAAAGTCGAGGGATCTCGCGGGTAGGATGCAAAATCTGCACAAGACAGGTGATTGAGGTGTTAACGGAAAAGTTCTGCATTAAACTTACCCAGTTCTTTTTGCAATCACGATAAGCTCTAGACAAGGTCATCAGTCAGTGAGAAAGCTCAGATATTATAATCATGACAATATTGTATAGGCTGGCCAAAAATAGATCAAAAGCCAGGTATTTAGCAAGGAGAGCAAGTCAAGGTGTTGGTATGATAATTTCTTTCTGACATACTGGAAATAATCATGGCACATTTCGCGCTCAAAGGCATTCCGTTTCATACATTTAAGACTCCGATCCGCGAAGTCTTGGCATGGGTCGTAGTACTCGCTAGCATGTTTACTAAAATCGCGAGTTAGCTATCAGTATGGATAAACACCACATGTATTCAGCCCAATGAATATGCGACCGTCGGGCTAGTCTGTGTTGCTACGCATGGCTCTCAAGACCGCATAGTACATGTAATGATGATCCCGCGGAGCACATACGCGATCACCGATGACTTTATAAACGTCATATAACATTTTGGGAGTGGACAAACATAGAAAAGGGTAGAAGGATGAAACATTGAAACATACTGTGTAAACTTCTTCTCCGCTTTCTTCCACGCTTCGTCGTGAGTGTCTCCTTGGGTTGACTCAGCCGCCATGGGTGCAGTGAATTCGTAAGTCTCCTAACTTTGTAGGAGGTAATTAAAGTAATTGAATTAATCAAATAAAATAAAATGCCAGAGAGTTCCTCGAAAATCAGATTGGAGGCGGAGGTTGATTGGAGCAGAAGTTAGTGTTGGACACAGGAAGAATTGGGGATCCGCAGTCTTGGCGCGGAGATCGGCCAACATACCCCAAAGTCCCGAGGTCCGTATAATATGTTTTTTATCTACTGTGTTGAGGTGTTGGGTTTCATATTATTCTAGAAGCATCTACATAGGTGCAGCATTTGGTTATGTCTAATCCGCGAACCCACTAAACTAGCCTAAGGCCCCATTTTAGAGTGCTGAGCTTTCTAGTCCATCTATATATATATTCAGGAACATTGCACTAACTACCTAGTTCCTCACAACATATACATGATAAATAATATGAAAATAAAAGTAAGTATATACACTTGCCAAGATAGCAAAAATGCTTGATTATGACAAAAATAGTACCATTAGTTTAGAAGTCCTAAAAGATATATTTTCTTGTGTGGTCCGATAAAATGCTATAAGAGATGCGAGACTACAACCGCACAGAGTCGGTCGATAAAGCCGAGGTTTGAGCAATAAGTAAGCCGTTAAAATCAAGGTCCATCCTTAGGTTCTACAGACAGTGAGTGTAGAGTAAATCCTACATGAGTAGTTAGTAAAAAAACATGCAAACTCAAGTGGCAGCCTATATTGAGAGTCCAGACCAAATGAGACGCATGTAGCATGAAAATGCCGCGGGATTAACCCAAGGACCACACGCCCCAGCCCTGTTATCAATAATTATTTTACTTCCCGCTTAGCCTTCTCTAGATACCCGTGGAACTCACTATCTAACCTCGATTAGTGTCAATAGCCGTGTTTGTGCAAGCATCACATGGTCACCCGAAGAGGCGTCGATGAATAGTGCATCGCGGGCCCCCTGAAAAGGTGACATACTTCCATATTTCAGAAAAAGTGGTAAATACTGGAAGCATTGATTCGGGTATCTTCAACCAAACAAGAGTCAAAGGTAGAATCACCGGTGCCAGCCGTCCTTCCAAGTTGCATCTATATGAGGACGGCACTGAGGCCGCTACACAGACACGACAGAGATAGCGCCGAAACTGCCTGTGATAAGCAGGTCTATGTATCCATAGATATCCAAAACAAGTCTGAATTTCCATTCGATAGTATACCGTAGCGGATTACAATGGTGACATCTTTCCGCCCTCGGTTGCCGTCCATCAAGGATGACAGTGTTCTCATGACGATCCGTCCCGTCTCAATAGTTGGTGGCTTGTATCATCAATTCGCGGACTATCGCTTCGAGATGCTTCAGGACCGGCTCCGTGACACCAATCGGTTCATGTGGGACCAGAAAAGAGCAAGGCGCCAATTCGACACGGCCAGTCTCAAAATGTTCATTCGCGAGCACATCGATTTTCTGGAGCATATGGACGAGGAGATTGTTGAAGATGACAAGGTCCAGACAGATATTTCGATGACATTCATCCTCGCTCGGAGAGACTGAAACAGCAATGGTATAAGGAACAGCCCCGTGCTGCTATAGAGTAGACCTCAGTGCAAGGAAAGCTACAAATACTTAGCCTGCTCTTGACAATATGGCTCTGAAGAACTCATGATGAGATGATCAATGATTTTGAACAGTTTAATTCTGGTTTCCATTCTTTACGGATCTTTTTTTTTTTTTTTTTTTTTTTTTTTGAGGGTGGGGGGATGGATGATTTGGCGTTTCCCCCCTCCCTTGCATAAGAAATTGAAGATATCAAGAGATATAGGCAGAGTAGGCAGTCAATCGAATAGTGTTATGTGTTATGGAATTAAGGGCTATTCATCCAAATTAGTCAGATGGCAGAGACGTAAAAGCCCTGAAAGCTCTTGAGTTGTGTTGCATAGGTTCTTTTTAAATGTCCTGATGCATGATGTACGATCTGTGAGTGAACCAGTGGATGCAAGGTCTAGTTGTGTAAATGAGGTCGAATATGTCTTCATTGACTATACTATTGAAGATAAAAATAAGTGGTTGGCTTACCTGGTATCAGTTTAGGAATGAAAGAAATGTGAAGTCAAAAACCGGGCAACGTCTTTGTGTTGTAAGATCTCGAGGTTTCATTCACATACAAAAGTCCTTCACCCGTAAGAGGTGTACGCACTTTTTATGCGGGTTATTTTCACAGTAATGATCTTTAAGCAAGTTCGACAAGTCTAAAATGAGTGAATGTCATATGAGGAACATCGATAGAAGAAAGTGACAAGTCACGTCTGAAGTTGCCAGGTCGAAGCTCCTTGGGGCCCCCTTCCTCATGATTATGTGATTGCTTGCCTGAGGCCACAAAAACATCTGCCCTCTCACTTGAAGAATCTGGATCATATTATTGTTCCTCCTTGTACCTTTCTCTTGGTCTCGGACCGTCACGCTGTCTTCGCAGCGTTCTTTAACTTCTTAGCGTTTGTCTCTGCGAAAACTTGTTGATCACACCCTGCCACTTTGCGAAACTTTTACTTTCCGGGACCCCCACCGCATTCTGTCGACACTCGCGCATTCACCCCAAGACGCCTTAAACGCACTCTGGTTGATGGGCTACGCCCCTAGGGTGGAAAATACAGCTCTTGAAGAGCCCCAGAAGGTCAAAATGGCAGCTCGAAATGGTTCTGGGGCCGAGGCATCGGGGGTAAGTCAATTCCCGCATCTGATTAAAGCGACCAAGAACTAGATACTGACGCGCGCTATACAGCTGGTCAACACCCTCCAAGGCCATGTCGATGATATTCGCACTCTGATACAGTGTGGTATATGCATCCGTCCCCTTTACGAACCGTTTACTATCGCCTGCGGGCACACTTTCTGCTACTCAGTGAGTCCGTTCTACTCTACTCTTTTATTAATTCTGTTAGCTGACCAAAACTCTTCACTTAGTGTCTATCCTCATGGTTTGCTGGTGGAAGATCAAAGCGAACATGTCCGGACTGCCGAGCACCCGTCAAAACCCAACCAGCCCCAGCTTATTTGGTAAGCTTTAACAGTCTTTTAACAACCTTGAATTTGTTTCATTATATTAACGTATCTCTCGTGCTACAGGTTCGGGCCGTTGTTCAGATGTTCACAGGCCGAGCCGAGCTTTTAGATAAAGGGGAAACGACTACAGAGCATTCAAAGAATCAAAGGGATGAAGCAGAAAGACTAGACCAGGACAAGGCCAATAATCATCCAACCGAGGGAGGTTTGTTCGGGGGTCTTTTCAAGCCTAAAGCTCCCCCACTCAAACCTGTCATTGACATCGATGATGGAGTGGTTCGGTGTCCGGTCTGCTCTTGGGAATTAGAAGGAGACAATTGCGCAGGATGCGGCTATCGATACCGGGCGGGCTCCGAGGAGACAGATGACAGTGGATCAGCCGACTTCAGTGAGACCGACCTAGACTCGCTCGATGATGGTACGGATGAGGAGGAGGCCGAGGGCGGGCCAGAGGAATCTGACCACTTCAGCGACATCAATGAACATGATGACGTTTGGGGCAACTTTGCGCTTCAGTATTACGGGAGGCCTAACATCTCTGGACGCCCTAACTGGCCCTCGGGTGCTGGACGGCAGATTTTCGACCGGCTTGAAAACTTGATGGATGGACCTGGTATGATCCCAATGGGGCTCCCGATCCCAGTGGATCATGGCAACTATTTCGCTTCAGGTGACACCCATGGGAGTGAATACGACGAAGAAGAGGAAGAGGAAGAGGAAGAGGAGAATGAGTATGACGAGTCAGACTCATTCATCGATGCTGAAAACGACCATCCGCCCACGAGTTCGTTCATTGGAAATGAAGTCGACCGTCTCGGCAGTGGCGATACGTATGAATCGGAATCAGACCATTCCACCGGCACCGTTGTGGATGATGCTGAAGGTGACCGCCGTCCCATACCGCTTGGGCTCAATTATAGAAACACCACGCCTTACTTTGACGACGAGGCCTCTGATGAAGAGGAGGAACAAGAAATCCCAGGAGAATCAGACGAAGGGGTATCGGACGACAGAGAGATGGTCGAGGAAGACTCGGATGAATCTGATGAAGACGCAATCCAAACTGCACCGCCTCGTCAAGCTAGGCTACAATATCCACGCCAGTCTCCCTGGTTCCAAGCCCCCAGCGATGCTCCATGGCTTGCAGCGAGGCCTCCACCTGAAGAAATTCCCGACTCATCGGAGGAAGAGGAATCCTCGCCGCCTGTTAGACCCGCTAGATCTACTGCGCGCCGTTCCATCCATAACGGGACTACTGCTAACAATGCGATTACCCTGGATGATTCCGACGAAGATCAGCCTGTCGGTCCAGTGAGAAGAACTACACAGAGGCGACGTGCCAGATTCTCTCCATATTAGAAATCTTCCAACCGCCGACGTGGTATTTGCTTTCGCATTTTATTGCCCTTCTTAATGTTTTGTTTTGGCTTCAGCGCGGCGCTTGGGTAATGATAAGAGGACTGTGGACATGGTTGGCGTTTTGTCTTCATTTTAAAAGAGCGACCTTTTCCCGCTTTCTTCTCTTTTTTCCTTCCAATACCTTCAACGACTTGATCCTATCTTCATGTTTTTTTTTTCCTTAACGGCTCAGCCGTACTCTACGAATACCCCTACTTATCCTTCTTCGGTTCAGTCTTGATCTTTTATCGCCCCTTGCCAGTGAAGTCAAAGAACCTAGTCTCTTGGCACTCAATAAACTGTGGCTACGAAATTCGTCATTAGATCCATGAAAAACCCACAGGCTCTACTATGTTAAGTCCTTGCTTCTCATTCTCTTCTCTCACCTAACTAGTAGAGCGCAAATTAGCTGAGTGTACTGGCTTACTTCATAGTATTATTACTAATATTCGTTGTGTCTGAATTGATAACATGTACCTACGGCAATTCTCGGGTCTATTTGAAGTAAAAAAATGCATCTACCATGACCCACCTGGTGGACACCCTATTCACAAGCAAATTAGACCAAGAAGAACAGCCAGCAACCATCTCCATATGACGTAGCGTATGACTTTTTTTTTTGGCTATTGGTTGTTGAAACAACGAACTTGGGAGATTGGATGGAAGCAAAGTTATAAAAGCATGGTACCTACATGTACCTATACAGCTTTTCTGATCGTTTACCCTAATCACGAGGTTTACTATTCAGGGACAGTGCTGCTTGAAATAGGGATATGATTGAATACTTCAATGCACCGAAGAAATCCGGTACATATGCAAAAATGGTAAAATACACAGATGTGACTCCAAATACACCTGACCCCGAGCAACGCTCCCCATTTTACTCGGTCAATGACCAAGATCGAGACAAGAAGATTATGAACAAAATTTATACATCAGCCTTCACGGTGTCATTAGTAGCAAACGGAACTTCGAAGACAACAGCACCATTGCGGCCTCCCGAGGTGGGGCCTTCATGGAAATTGTTGTTGAAGCACTTCCAGCGAGCCAATCGGTGCTCCTTGCCGACAGCGGCGATGATGGATAAACCACGAGGTTCGTGCTCAGTCTCAGACTTTTTTGATTCAGCACCTGGCATATCAGACTCGGGGCGTCGTTCGAAGACCGCGATGTCGTTGATGACACCCTTAATCAAAGGCTCTGGCTCTTTTTGTTCAGCCGCAGGGGTGGCATCAAGAGCAAGAGTCTGGTTGAGTTGCTGCGAGGGTGTGTCTGGTGGTGTCACGGTACTGGGTAGGCCTGCACCAATGGGACCCAGAGCGATAAGTGTCTTTTTATCCTCTGAGACACGCCATGCGCGGATGAAACCGTCCCAGCTGCCACTGAGGACAACGTCGGTACCCGGTAGAGTAGCGAGTGCTGTGATCCAGCGAGGCATGGGACGCATGTGGCGCGTATTGTGGGCGGCAGTCGCCTCGTCTGTCTCGGGCGATAACACATTCAGAGGGGGGATTGGGTCCAAGCCATGAGCAAGACGGACGGTGTAGAGTGGCTTCTTCTTGTGAACCGACCAAAGGCACAGGGAGCCGGAATCCGAACCAGTGACGAAGTGAGTGGGTGGAAGGGGGGCAATGCAGTCAATGTTGCTCTCGTGGTAAGGGGCATTTCTGGAGGCGCCACCACGGAACACGAGCTGTGTTTCATCGACAACCTTCCACAAGCGGGCGGTGCGATCCCGAGCACCAACACTGACACATTCGTCAATGGTCATGGCAGCAACTCCGGTGACATGATCCTGGTGGCCGAAGAGTGTTTCGACATATGCGTGGCCTGCTCCGCTGATGGACCATGTCTTAATTGTGCGGTCGTACGAGCCAGAGAACAACTGCTCTCCAGAACTCATCGTTGAGATATGGCGTGCAAAAGACAGGCTGCAAACCGAGTCTCTGTGGTGCAAGAAAGTCTTGCTTGGCGTCAAAGTCTCTGCGTCCCAGATGATAAGCTTATTGTCCGTTCCACCGGTGGCCACGAATTTTCCAGAAGGTGAGACAGCAACAGATATGATGCTTCCTGTATGTCCTTGGTCCTCCCCTGAT